GGAAAATAGATTGAGATGCAAAGTGACGAACGCATAAACCGACTGTGTGGCTTGCGTGTCCCGCAAGTACCGCCTCCTTCGGCCGGCCGTCGGGTATGGCCGCACGCCGCCGGGCCTGGCAGTGTCACCGCGCTGACAGAGGCCCACAACGGGCGGGTGGGTGATGCAACGGCGCAGTAGGGGAAGAGGGGAGGCGAGGATTTTTCGTAAATTTCATTTTACGACGCTCCTATGCGGCCGATTTGCATGATTGTCACGGCGTTGGATTCAGGAAGCATGTCGCCATCGCGCTGAGGCCACATTTTTAAATTTGTTCTCGGAAGTTTGCGAACTAATATCAAATTCGCGTTTTTGTTAGATTTTTGAAAAAATGACATCGTAGCGTAAATTCTATTATAAATAGGCGTCAAATGCCGTTTACAAATCGAAAATCGGACCATTGATTCAGACGTTATCAGTAAAGTAAATTCCCCTGTGATAGTGCTGCGATCTATTGAATTTTCCTACAAGTATTTTTCGGTGCATTTAGGGGACCTCTCGGTCGGGGACCTCTCGGTCGGAGACACATCAGGGTCATCAGTTGATACCCTGGGCCACCTCTTCTGGTCCATGTGTGTCGACGTCGTAGTCAGGAACTTTGACAGGTGCGCCCAATCAGGCGGTCAAAGCCTCTGGGTTCGAAACCGGGAAAGGGAGTTAGTTTTTAGTTCATTAGGGCGTGATATGCATCCTCAACCTTTTGTATGTCACCTTTTACAATACCTTTATTCTTCCGTAATATTTCGGCCTGGTCGGTAGCTGTGAGATTTCTGTGCAATATATCTGAATGTGTAATTGAGGAATTGGACCCCTACTCAGAGTTGCTATGATAGAATTTGGTAACTTTCTTTTTTCGTGTCCGGTAACGTGAATTTTTAAAACAGCAACTCCGAATATTCAGGCCCCTTAGAATTCTTATTACCGAGAGGTTACTGTATGCAGAGAACGTTTCAATTCGCATCATGCTTGATGACCCATAGATTCACTGAAGGCGCAAGGAAAATAGATTTAATGAAAACTTGGGAAATGAGTCCGCCATCCGCAATGAAGATTTTACTAAAATCGTAGTAACATGTCTTAGCCTTCTTTTCTATCAGTCATAGATGCATTCTGCGCAGGAACGAGGTCGTCGGCACCGGGACGGGATGCAGGCGTGGCGAAAGTTCAGAGATTGAGATTGAGAAAATTTGAAAAATGTTGAGGCAATTTTGAAAATGATTATGTTAAGTACCTCCAAACATCAAAGAATCCCTTTCAAATTCATAGGGCCGCGCCATCAGACAGATCGATCGGCAAAAATCAATTTTGGTGAAAATGAAGCTTTGCAGTTTCACTCACAAAGTTCAAAACCTCCTCTGCTTAAGAGTTTCCATTGCTCAGTGGCAGACTGTTCCTGTGGCGTTCAGACATTCTTCAGGTGCGAATTGTGGACGTGCAGGGGAGTTTGTGGTGAAAGCGACACCAGTCCGTATATTCCGTGTATCAATACAAGAAGATGTTTTAATATTTATTAAACATTAGTTTCTGAGCTAGATTTCCTGACTGTGTTGTAGCTTATTTTGTTTTTAAGAGAGATTATGCTCGCAAATGTCATCCACGTTACTTGGCAGTAAATACGTTCGTAACTTTTACGTTAAAATTTTCCTTAAATATCCTTTGATTTTAATTATACACTTCCTTTCAAAAAGTTATTGTCTTAGTTGAAGATGACACTGAACACGGACAAAAAGTGTTCCCGAATGCTAGGTCTGGGATTATTTTTAAAACAGTCTTTACTCACTACGAAAGTGAGTCTGTCTAGGAAATGAAATCTTAATGGATATTGCGACGGATAGGAACAGATTTGAAATAAGTACTCCGAAGGCATTTTTGTAACACACACACACATACATTATATATATATATATATATATATATATATATATATATTGTAACAGTCCGTAATTTTTTGACCGAGTTCATGGAAACCTACAATTAGTCTATGGAAATAATTGTCAGTACGCGAGAAGCAAATAGTAATTTTTACTGCAAAAGTTTGGTTTATATTGTTTCTGAGAATGTACATAATATTAATTAAGAAACTTCCGCGTGCCGTCACTGGTCCCAGTCCTCCTTGATCATGTACGTGGCCTCCTCCGCCACCATGATGGCGGGCGCGTTGGTGTTGCCGCTGGGCACGACGGGCATGACGGAGGCGTCGGCCACGCGCAGCCCATGGACGCCGCGCACCCGCAGGCGCGCGTCCACCACGCTGCCCGGGTCGTGGGCCGGCGCCATCTTGCAGGTGCCCGCCGGGTGGAAGAGCGTGCCCGTCAGCTGCGGCACGGCGCAGCGCCAGAAGTCGCGCGTGGCGAACGGCAGGTCCTCGCAGCCCGGCGGCACGATCGTCTCCAGGCGCGCGCCCAGCGCCCGCAGTGCCGCTGCCTCGCCCAGCAGCGCCGTCGCCTGCAACGCCCGCGCAGGCGCGAGTCTCTGGTCACGCGCCTTGCATTGACATGAGACGCTGGGCATGCTCGGCTTAGGCTTCAAGTAACCTAGGCCCAAGGCCTGCCGACGCTTTCTCCGAACTGGTTCTTTCTTTTATTTGGATATTCCCAACTGTGATTTTATGATAGCGAACAGTCGAAACACTGTAATCTAAAATATAAGAACTTGCTTATGAAGAAGCTAATACAGAGATTTACAATTTGGTCTAAAATATGTGACAGAAAAGCCGCGATTATTTCTCACTATTATATCGCCTCGTAAGTCACAGGGAGGCTTGCAACAGCTTTGAATATCCTCTCGGGGGACCGTCAAGGATCTCACGCGATTTTAGTATTACTATTACTGTCATAGACGCTTGTTTTGATGTCAATTGCTATTTACTTTATTATTCAATATACCGAAATTAATTTTAATTTACCCCATCTTCTCCGTCATGGTGCAGGGTGTGTAATAAGGGTTTTCAGTGTACCTCTGTATACGGTGGATATGACATAATATGACAGTACATCACACGAGTCTGAAATATTTTATTATATAATAGAACACAAGTGTATCTTGGGCCCAACATTATCAATTTTATCAGAACACATTTCGAGCCCAACTTTATCATAATTTTAAATTGGCTAAACCTACCTCAATTATATCCGAATGAGTCTCAAGATCTTCGGGGTCGTAATTCAATCCAGACGTTATTTTGACGTGCTTCTCAGGGTTGGTGCTTCTCAGTTTTATACTCCCACGACTTCTCGGAAGAAGTATAGGCATAAAAATTAACACATCCCTCTCTTCCCAAATCTTTCTGTACTGCTCGAGAACAAGATCATCCAGTCCCACGCTCTTCGTGAACACGTCGAAGTCAACAGTGTTGTTTTTGCGGAGGTGGATGAGGTGCACTTGCGCGTTGACGCATTCGTGCTCGTCGTCCTCCCCTAGTTTCGTCTTCGTGTGGAAGAACATCGTCACATGGGTAGGATCAATTGAAGCCAGCGGCCCCTTTTTCTCGTTCTCAGGTATTGGTAGGCGGCATCAAGATCATCAGTGGGGGACTGTGGATCCAAGGAGTAAACTAAACCCAAGAATGTAACGTGGTCATGAAGGTTTTCCCCTACTGGCAGGTCTGCAATCACAGGTGAAACTCCAATTTTTTCAAGATGGGCGCGAGGTCCGATGCCGGTATGAGTATCTGCGGGGAGTTGGTGGTGCCGCCGGACACGACAACCTCCTTCCCGACCCGCACCTCCCGTTCCTCCTTCCCGTGCAGCCTGAAGCGAACGCCAAGGGTCTGTTTGGAGTCCGGGTCGACGATGACCTTGGAGGCCAACGCGTGCCTCAGCACGTGGAGGTTGGCGCGGCGCGCCGCCGGGCCCAGGTAGCCCCTGGCCGCGCTGCAGTGCTCGCCGTTGGCCAGGGTGCCGGGGGCGGCGCCGACGCCGGCCGCCCGGGGGCCGTTGAGGTCGGCGAGCAGCGGCAGGCCCAGCTCCACGGCGGCGCTCAGCACCGCCTGCCCGACAGGCCCGTCGTGGCGGAAGCGACTGACGGCGATGGGCCCGCCCCTGGCGTGCAGGGCGGCGACGCCCGGGGCGTCCTGCCACTGGTCGTCCACTTGGAAGTCCTCCAGCTTCTTGAAGAAGGGCAGGACGTCTTGGAACGACCACCCGGGGTTCCCGAGGGCCGCCCAGTGGTCGTAGTCGCACGTGTGGCCCCGCGAGTACAGGTTTGCATTGATGGTGCTCGTGCCGCCAAGAACCTGCGGCAATCAATGCCTAGCCGCCATTGCCTTCTAAGATACCTCGAGAACAAAGACGATTGTTGAAAAATAACTCAATGTACTCAATCAACTGCCGAAGTCGTACTCATTGACAAGTTTACGGCCATCCTCATGGAAATGAAAAATTAATATTGAACTACCACTTTTCTGACTGAATATTATGGTTTGAGCTTTAAAGCTTTTTAGTATTAATCAATGCTACAATAAAGGAAAATAAAGTGTGGAACGTTTTTAAAATGCATTTTTGTGTGGAACGTTTTTCCACGCGGTACTTCGAGTCCACCTCCGTGCACTGCAGCGCGAACCACGTGGCCGGCACTTGGCTGTCCAGCGGCGGGTCGCCCCCGGCCTCGAGCAGCAGCACGGACCAGTCGGGGTTCTCGGAGAGGCGCGCCGCCACGGCGGAGCC